GAACATGGGGCATCTGTGAAGCCAACATTTCTCTGAGATGGTGAGTGTGCTTATTGAAATTGGTCATGTCCCTGTCCGGGCTCCATCAGGATCTATTCATAACAGTAACAAAAAAATCTTCGATAATACACAAAGGTGGCTATCAGTGGTTCACAGAATAGACTATCAGTTTGGAAGCAGTGAGCGGATATTTAGAAATATAATTTCACTGATCAAAGTAGTATTGCTAACTGCCAAGCTCAAGATGTGGTTAGGACAGTTAATCCTGCAATCTGAGGTTGTCATACAGGAAAGTACATACCTTCAAATAATGCTATCCACTGAAAACTTTACAATGTATGTAGCAGAAAAAATATTAACTTTTAGAATTCAAGTACAATATTGTTTGTTTTCACAATGTAATTAGACCATTCTAGAAACTAGAAAACTCTATTTTTGTTTTTCAAACTAATCATGCTGCAAATCCTATGAAATGTTCATATTTTATCTTTTATACTGTTTAATATTTGTCCATGAGAAGTATAATAGTTAACTGATTGTGTCAATTTAAGATGAGCTCAACTAAACTGGATCAGCCGAGTTCTCGGGGTGGCTGAGGGCATTTACTGAAAACAGAAGGCTCACCTAGGGCAGTTTGTGGCTTGAATGGTATAAAAGAGAAATGAAGAAGGAAGACTAGCTTCTATTTCTTTGGAGGCACCCCACTCTTTCTATTTACACTGCATACTCTGTCTCCCAGCTCCCAGCACAGACTTTTCTGCCGCCAGCACAGATCTTTCACCCTCCATCCAGGACCCTTCAGCCTTCTAATGCAGACCCTGTGGCTTCCTGATATGGACTCACATGGGACACTACTCTGAGCTCCAGGCCTTTGACTGAATCTGTTAAATCTCCAGGGCACAGACAGCCCTTTTGCACTCTCCCACACCTTACTATGTGGACAGCCACTGTAACCAAATCGTGTAAATTCTTATATATTTGTACATTTTGCATAAAATCTGTTTCTCTAGTAAGCACTGACTGATACAACAAGTAAAAGTGTCTTGGAGAAGGTTCAAGATGATTATTTAACCTATTTATAATGGCATGTCAGGAGATGAATAATTCAGTTCAGATAGTCTTTTGCAATAAAAATTCAATAACGCCAGAAATAACTTGAAATTTCTTTAGAGGTCTTGATGACTTAGATAAGAACTTGGGGTTCATTATGGTTGAAAGACTGCAGTGTTAAAATCCTGTAGGAAACAAACTGTGAGAATTTAATCTTGACTAATTAGTAGAGTTCTCCACATCCCCACCTTTAGAAAGTGTGATATTTATGACTCAGTGATTATTATTGAGGTGGTAAACAACTACGTGCATGGATAGTCAAAGCCATTAAAAATCAAACACCAGAATTATAAGAAAGACTTGGTTTTACTGAACAGAAACTATTACATACAGATTTAATAGTTATCACAGATACCTTTCAGAATGGATATCTTAATTTCTGTTTGATGGTGTAGTAAATTAAGAGAGGTTGGTTACCCTCTCCATGTCATACAGCTCAGTGTGGAGACAAAGAAAACCCAAGTCCAGGCATTTCTGCCCTATTATGCTTGGTTCACAGTAACAGAAAATTTAGTAGAGTTAATTTTACTTCATCAATGAATAAACACATTTTGGGCTGTTTTACTTATAGAAGAGGTGATAGAGAAGAGTGAGTGAATACTGAGAGGGGAGGTAGGAAATTCAGTTAGAAAGAAAATGTAATCAGTAGCATTAAGGGGAAAAAAAGGACAAAAAATGGTAGGATTATCTTTGAAAATATTATAATTAATTGGGATTTTTTTGTAATTAGAGACATTTAATCCAGTAATTTAAATTTATTTAAATAAATCTGATCTTTAGCAACTCTTTGAGAAATATTTGCATTATTGAACTCTCCTTTTTCATAAGTATCTGAAATTACCTTTAGAACTGATTTACTAATATTAAGGTGGTACTCTAATCAGAGATTCTGAAAAAAATTTCCCAAAGAAATTTACTTGATTTAGAAAGAAAATCTAATTTATCTTCACTTATTTATAATAAGTATTTTGAAAGAATATCAACAGAAAAATTCTCTTTCTTTACATACTTTTCTTTTTCATTTTGTATATTTTGCAGAATGTATTAGTCATTCCTATTCCTGGAACAAAGTAGGCAACACCTGAAAATTAATGTAAGAGAGGTTTATTTGCCTTAAGTTTCAGAAAATTCAGTCCATGGTTGGTTGGCTTCAAGGCAAAAGGGTATGGCAGAAGGAGGGCCAGGTTGGAAGAAAGGTGCTCAATCCGTGCAGCAAAGAAGTAGAGAAACAATACAGGAGTTAGGAAGGGAAATGCATCCTCCAAAGACACATCCCCAGTGACATGATTCTTCCAGGCCTCACCTTTAAACCATGAACTCATCAATGCATTAATCCATGATGAGTATAGTGCTCCACAATCCAATTATTTTCAAAGGCTGCATCTCTGAACACATGAGAATTTGAGGGGACGTTCTTCATCTAAACCGTAACATAGAACTGGCCTAGGACAAGTGTCATAAACTAGACACAATCTGATAGACTTGAATTTAACATAGGTTCTGCCTGTGACTCTTGATCAAATTGTTCAATCTCTCTGCACTCAAGATTATCCATTTTTAGTACAAGGTTTGCAATACTCACCCTGACAGGTTGTTTTGAGCACTAATAGATAATTGGCCTAAAACCTTCTCAGATGACATCTGACACATTTTAATTTTGTTGTTGCTCTTGTTGTTCTGGGGATTGATCCCAGGGCCTTCTGGCTGTTAGGAAAACACTATCACTGAGCTACAGCCCCATCCGACATTTTAACATCTTAAAATGCAAAATGAGCTTTCGATTTTCCAAGAAAATGGTAAAATCAAAGGAGCTTGTCTGCTGGGATTGGTGTGCTCCTCTGCAATCACTTTGCCCTCTTTGATGAATCTTCCCTGTTCCATTCTTACTGGATTATTTATCCAAGAATTATATGGATCAAAAAATATGGACATGTTTAAAATATAAATGCTTAGGCGCAACCTGAGGTGTCCATGACCAAACTCTCTGGGTCAAGGCAGAAAATGACAGAAAATATAATGTTAAATACTGTAATCTTCACTGGCCTTTAAACGCTTTGTCTCCCTACATGGAAACAAGGTCTTATACACACTGAATAAGATTCAGTGAAGATTAATAGAAGTATACAATGGTGTTTCACAAATTAGAAGATAATATCAAGTTAGAATTCTATTATGATTGAAAATATTATTGACAGTTTCTTCTTGAGTTTGACAGATTTTAGGTCCTCCCATGTTGTCTGTCTTCTGGAATTTCCATTTTTCACCCAAGTGACAATGACCAAGTTTACTCTAAGTTTTACCCTCCAGAATCACAGTCTGAAAAGACTGTGATTTTTCTGTTGGAGTTTTGGCCACACTGCATGTTATAAAGCTATTTCTGTCCTCATGTCCTCGTGCCAGAAGCCACAAAAATGTTACATTTTCAGCATCATTCCCTTTTTCTCTGTTTCTTCTGCCTTCCAGTATACGGCTGTTCTCTGGCGTTAGGCAACTTTTAAACATTTTGTCCAGAGTTTTTAGTTGCTATATTTGGAAAATGGAGAGGTATTTACTCATGAATACTGGTAATGGAATAGTAATAAATTGCTTTTTATTGAACTAGTTCTACAGCAATTCTTTGATATTCCTTTTTTAATACTGTCAAAATTTGCAAAGCAAACTGAGAAATCAATATTACATCTGCTTACCTGGAAACTTGATGTTCCCAGCTATATTAGTGTTGCCAAAGGGAAATGTCAGCTTTGCCTCTACATCACTTGTATAAGGCACAATATTCTGAACAGGAACACTGGATCAGCTGAGTGAGATTGGGGCGCTCCTAGCCTGAGAAATGTGCTAAGAAATCAGCTATCAGAAATGTTTATTTCCCAACAAGAGTTACAGAGTTGGAAATTTTCACATATCCAAATGATTTCCTTGCTGAGCACCCATAATTACCAACTATCTATGGCTACACAGGAATGATATAGTTTCATTAATTTAAATGATAAATTAAAAATTATATAAGATGGGCTGGGACGTAGCTCAGAGGCACAGCTCCTGTCTGGCAACCACACGATCCTGAGATCAATTCCTAGTACCAAAAAAAAAAAAAGAAAATTATATAGACAAAACTATTTTCAAAATCAAACTCTTAATTTTATTCTTTCTAAATATAAGAGAAATATATCTTTATTTTAGACACTGTGAAACATAAAACTTATTTTAAAAAACCATACATAAAAATTAAACGATGGTTTATGACTTCAAATTTACTAGTTTCTAGAGAAATTAGTAAACTTTATTGATTTGTGATAAGAATTTCAGAGGGCTAGAACCTAGAGTAAAATCTTTGGTTATAGATCTGTGATGCCTACCAAGAACATATATGAAATGGTGCATGGTGGCACATCCCTATAATTCTAGCACCGAAGCAGGAGGATGAGTTAGATAGTTCAAGGCCAGGCTGAACTGCATGAGATCCTGTCACAAAACAAACACACAAGCAAACAAACAATGAACAAATATATCAGATATATATCATATATTAAACTCATATATATATATACATTAATCCTACACATCATGCATTTAGGTTAAGGATACAGGCTGAATTTGACACTTTTTAAAACCATTTTTCTTAGTGAAAAGGAGGAAAAAGATGTCCTTAACAGAAGGCGGCATTCCAAAAATACCGACCTCCCATCTAGTTCTCACTATTGAGAAGGGCCTTTATTTTTCTCTCTTCTCATATATTAAGGTGGGAAAATGCACAAGGCAGAATTCTAAGATGTTCACTGACCTTCCTGTTATGATTGTGTTAGTCAAGATTGTTGAAATAATACAAAGGCTGATATGAGAAAATAGGCTATTTTTGGTTTTTGAAGTGGAGAAGACCATGTAGAAAGGACCTAAGACTGGTTTCCATAAACAAAGAGTGGCTCTTGGCCAAAAGCCAGCAAAACTGAGAATGGCTCGTAGGAAACAGAGTCTGAAGTAAAATGAATGTGAATCAAAATTCAGAATCACATTCTTCCTTAGTGTTTTGATGTTCACACAGTCCATTGGTTTAGATCTTTGAGTGACTAAGGAACCCCACCTAGCTAGACGCTGGCATACAGATTTGTGAGATAATGATAATGATAATATTAATTAAACCTGCAAATGATGATTTGTTACAAAGAAATAGAACCACAATATGAGAGGCCTCTTTTATGCAATGATTCTCACATTTTAACATTTGTCAAAGTCACCTATGTAGCTTTTAAAATACAAACAATTGGGCCCCAAAGTTATGGTTCAATTATTTGAGATAAGACCTGAGAAGTTGTTTTTGTAATCATTTCCAAGTGATGTCGATACTCCTGGTTAGGAAGAAAGTCTTGAGAACCATTGCTCTACAATGATACCCTGGCATCTGTTCATATCTCTTCATAACTCCTTCCTAAGAGAAAAAAATTAGCTGATGAAGCTGGAAGAAGGAATAGAATTTTCTCAGTTCCTTTTGAATTTTCAGGGTTGTGCATTAGTTGGCCTGCATATAAAGGAACGTTTTGGTTTTCTCTTTGACTTCAGTTAAGCCATTTGTTTTTAAGAGAAATCCAGTGTTTATCCAGGTCTGACAGTTTCTTGGTGTGGAAATCTATCTAATGCTGAGAGGTTTTCAGAAACTTACTTTTATTCCTTATCTTAATTATTCACATGTTCCAATCCTGCTTTCCTGAGTAATAATATTGATATTTTAATACATAGTTGGGTATAGTATCTACCTCTTAGTTGGTTTGGGCTTTGGTAAGGAAATATTTTATTTGTTGTTCCTATGACATTTTAACACTGACAAAGGACAAAAAAATAGATCTCATTTTCGAAGCTTCCTACTCTCCAGTTGGGAACTATTCTTTCTCTAGTCAGAGGAGGGATAACATTTCTGTCAGTAGTCAGTCTGTGACTGCTTTATCCAAGTGTCTCAAAAGAAAGGTATGGCAGTTTTCTTTGTGAGGCTGACTAGGTAAAGCTGTGGATTTTATCAGCTGGCTTTAAACAGACCAAGATAATTCATTGTTCTGTGACATCCCAACAAATCAATCCTACTAACAGAAAATCCAAACAAATCTTACATATTCATAACACAATTACTCAAAGACCTAAATTCTTCCCTTAAGAATCTGATGATCATCCAAAGAAAAACTCATACACAGGGTATAAAAATGAATGAAAGTAGTCACTGTATTTATTTTTTCTCCATGTTTCATCTCTTATTCTCAAAGAGATAGGAACGAAGTGAAATCAGTTTTTGAATAACTGCAGTATATAAGATCCTGTATTTATTATCTCAGTCAGCCCTCTAGTAACATTATTAAGCCATACATTTCTAACTCTTTTGGTTTTATGTACATTATATATCCTGAAGAAAATATCATAGAATTTAAATCTATGGTCTGTTTGACACCAAAGGGGATGTTATTTCACCACGCCATATTACTGACAAGGGATGCCAAGTTAAGCAATGGAAGTTATGATAGATTAAAAGGGGCTCCCTAGTAGTATGCTTCCAACTAAAGCCAAATTTTACAAAAACAAATTAATTTTACCTAACAAATTATGTGCTTTTATAAAAATATTTCAAGTATTATAATGCTATATATGTTAAAGGTGTTATATGTTTTTATCCTATGGTTGTTCACAATTATAATGTGAATAATTATAGGATAAAACATTGAGCTGTAGGAAACAGACATTATACATATGTAGGAGGATAAGTTTTTAAACATTGAATGGTTATTTATGGAAAGCAAACTTCTCCAAAGGGCTGTATCTAAACACTGTCTTGTCTGGCATAATAAATGTTTATGAGCAGTACATAAAACCAATAAAGTGTTTTATATGTGGTAAATGGGACTGCAGATGTTTAAATTTTATTGTTTTCATCTAAATCTTTTTGAAATTTTATAACAAAATTGCAGATTTAAAAAAGCAACAGTGAAAGTATAAATTAAAAATTAGACTAATGAGTACAAAGTGTCTCAAATGGTTTAAATCTGAACTATGAATGTAAATAAAAAATAGTTCATGAATTTTTGGTGATGAACAAGTCGATAAGTAATAAACTCTGATTGTTAGACTAATATAATAAGAATACAAAATCATGTAAATTATGAATACATATACTGCAATAATCCATTAATGTAACCAAAACATTTAAAACTGTCATATGAAATTAGAAATTTCTATTCGAAAATTTGCACGTATAAAAATGTTAAATCTAGGGCAAGAATACATGAGATGAAGTAAATTTGTTTTCAAAAGTGATTGATAAAAATTCCTCCACTGGTTGGTTCTTTGATAAATGAATGAGTGATTTGGGGAACATACTTTTTTGCTAATAATTAGAGTTATTTAAAAATTTAAAGCTTGATGTTAAAGTTATGTTTGTGTTGACTGCTTATGCTATTTCTGTAATTGTTTAATAATGTTCCTGTTCAAACTAATATGATGTTACATTGCATTTATTTATGGTAGATTGGCCAAATTTAACTCATAGTGAGCATAAATTTATTTAAAATTATCAATACCAAGTCCATTCCAGTGTAATCTATTACCCTTAAATGTATAAATACCTATTGCAAAAAACAAAAGTGGTAGACAATGAAAAAACAATATGGAGAAAAAGCAAATTTCTTCAGAGACAAAAAAGCTCAATTAATCTCACAGTATTACACATTATCTGACTTTATTTTAATACTTTGTGCTCAGAATATAGTTATTAAAAAGCACACATAGTATAGAAGAATGACTGAAAGTTAAAGTGCTTTAAATAGTAAAGTAAATTTATAGGAATGGCATAAATGAAGTTTCTATGTTACCTGACCAAAACCAAATTATTTAGGAAGAGATGGATTTAGAACTTTATTGAGTTAAACAGATCTGGGATTAGCTACAACTACTAAGCTATATAATATTCACTTCCATAGAAGAAAAAACATTTTCACAGGAAAAGTCTCATCTACCAAGTCTTCTATGAAGAACTGGCTTATCTCTTACTTCTTTCCTATTGCCATGTAAATTTAGAGTTAAAAATATAATTGCAGCCTAAAGAAAGAAATTATAGTCTGTAATGAATAACCCATTAATCCACTAAAAGCACAACTTCTCAGACTATTTTTTGGCTCTTTTCTAAATAGTATGGAAAAGTCAAAGTGAAAGAGTGAGACAAGCATAAAATTAATAAAGGAAAGCAAACGTGATATAAATCACTTTAGAAAACCCTAAGACCAATGGTGACAGATTTTGACCAACATTTTTTAAAAATAGAAGTTGATGCTAATAAACTGAGACGTGTAGTAATCAGCAAAACAAAGAGAGTAACAGAAGATTTCAAAGGCCGTGAAATTTTACTTCCCATTTCTAGTCTAAAAATGGCAATAGTAGGTTCATTTTGAAAATATGTGATGCATGCTAATTTAAGAACTACTTTTAACCAATTTACCATACATTGAAAACTACTGTTATATTTATTTAAATAACATTTCTAAAAAACAGGAAACATTTTGTACTTACCAATCCATTTAAATTATCACATCCCATTGTAAACTTTTAAATTCTTGAAAATTCTTTAAAATTTATGTAACGACATTTGGTAGATTTTATATTTAGTTTAACAATATTTGTGTTTTTTTTTTTCCTGGTACTGGGAACCAAACTCACGACCTTGCGCTTGCCAGACAGGCGCTGTGCTGCTGAGCTAAATCCCCAGCTAGTTTAAGAATATTTGGATTCTCTTAGTAAAGTCCTGAATTCTTGTAGACTACATCACAACCATTGCATTGCATTGCATTTTGACAGATGTGAATCTCAGAACACAGAATTGTGAATTTGAGTTGCTATTATATTTTTTAAAAATCAAGACACTTGTAAGAGATTAACAAAATGTTCTTTTCCTATCTCAGTTCTGAATAGTTTCTATTGATCTTAAGTTTTAAGAATATTCTAGAAGCACAGAAGTTGAGCTGTGGTATTTACCAAGCATGAAATCAGAATATATTTTGAGAGAAGCCTTGAAAAATAAGTAAAGTAGGATGCACTCTTTTGAATGGTATGCATTCTTCCACATATATGTTTATATATCTGTCATGCAATGTCCTCTTTATATTATGCAAAAGTTACAGAGCCCTAAAATAAACTTGGGCTATGTGCATTTCACAACTTTAATAAAGTATTCCTGATAGAGAAAATAGCATAATTAAAGGGTTAAAGTATAAGAGAATTTATTGTGTTTATAGAAATACAAATATCTTATAATGGCTAGGATTCAGTATATGTGGATAGGCTAAGCCAAGAAAGAAAGAGACAGAGAGGGAGACAGATAGAGAAAGAGAGAGAGAGAGAAAGAAAAAAAGAAACAAAAGATTTAACCATCTCATATAACGTCTACTCAGACTGAAATTATCTCTAAAAATATTTAATTATTGCAGAATAATTAACTAGACAGTAGATATTAACCTACTGCAGCTTCATACGTTGCATATCTTGTGCGTTAACTTAATTAAGTACCTTTAACTTTCCTATGGATATGAAAATTTCAGAAAACAACTGGTATCTATGCTGTGGCTTTCTTATTGGTTGTCTTTCATTTGCAAATTGTTGATGATATACTGATTTTATTCACTGTACATTGATTACACAATTCTCATGTGATGTTTAAGAACCGAGTATCTCCTAAGTTTACTTTTTCATTTTTCCTAGTAATTTTCTTTTTTTTTGGTAGTTTCTTCCAGTACCAGGAATCGAACTCAGGACCTTGCACTTGTCAGGCAGGTGTTTTACCGCTGAGCTAAATCCCCAGCCCAGTAATTTTCTATATTGAAAATAATTACTAGTATTTATTGATGATTTCCATGTGCCCAGCACTGTGAGGAACTTCATATCTATGAACATGAATACTTATACTAGTATTTCAAAAAAATGTATTATGAATGCTATTTTGAGGAGAAGAAAACTGTCTTAAAGAAGTTAAGTAACATTCTCAGCATCAAAAAATATTAAGGTCAGAGATAAACATTTTTGCATCAGGCTCAAATTTGCACAAACAGTAGCAAACACTCACACATTCACACACATACACAGGCACGGCCTCACATTTGTTTTATTTCACCAAATTATCATTCATAGTGATTTAGAGAACTTATTTTACTGAAAATTTAGAGAAGTTAGAATATCTATATTCCTTTTTTTGTTTGTTTGTTTGTTTTTCTTCCGGTACCAGGAGTCGAACACATGACCTTGTGCTTGCCAGGCAGGCGCTTTGCTGCTGAGCTAAATCCCCAGCCCCAGAATATCTATATTCCTAAAAATTACATAAACAGTTTCATATTTTTGGCTTTGCCCAACTATACATTAGAACATAAGACTTTATTAGGCTCATCAGCAGCATCATAAGCAAAGGTAAATACTTTATTTCTCTTGAGTCTCTAGTCTGAGGTGTCAAATTATATCTGCAAAAGAAGCAAATGTACATTTGTGCTGATTCTTATAGTTCTTAATTAACTAGGTAATTCATTTGGAATGACACAATATTTTATTTTAAAGAGGACAAGGAAGCACAAAATAACAGCAACAAAGACAAAACAGAACAACTCAAAAGCAATAAAAACTGCACAGAATTTCAAAATAAGATGATAGAAAATTAACAATGCTTGTTATATTACATGTTGTTATCTTCACCGAAATTTCTCAGATTACCAAATATAAAATGCAAGATTGATCAAACAATTAAACATTAGCTGTTCGATTCAATAAGCCACTAGAAATTAGTAGTACAATTATCTTAGCCTGGAGAAAGGGAAGGGAAATACATATACATGACACAATACTTTAAATCAGAGCTTTAAAGTAATACAAAAACTTGCCTTGTTTGCAAACTGATTAATTGTGCTTCACAGCTATTCTCTGGCTTACAATATGTATGCCTGATTTATTATTCAAAATATATTTGATGTTTTAAAATCACTTTTAGTGTTTAAGATTTTACTTTATTTTAGTTATATACTCAAATTCAAAACTCTGACATAAAAGTAATGCACTCAGCATAGTTCTACAGTTGGTTAGTGTTTTGTTCTTTCCTTTCCTGTACATTTCTTTCAAAATCAGGTCAACCACTGTGCACACAAAAATCATTTTCTTCCATGGCTGCTACACATACATGGTAAAACCCTTGAATTTCTGAGGGCTAAGCAAGCCCCTTTGTCTCATCATGGCACATACAACATTTTTCATGGATGCAGTAGGTACAAAGGCTATTATCTGTACGTTTCATTTCAATCACTTTCTACAATCTATTTATCTGTGTCCCTTCTAGGTTTATCAACAATTCAGTATCAATAAAGCTTATATGACTTACTCTTTCCATTAGAATACTTGGAATCATGAAAATATTGGTTGTCTCTTATCTTTGATAACCTCTTTAAAAAGATCTCATGACCATGTACAAAATAAAATGCTTACAGTATAATTTTAGATTATTCTTTGACTCCTGAGCATGCAAGAATTACATTTTAAATTAATTAAAATAATAGGTGAAAATAAAGATTTATAAATATTCATATTTTATAAGCTAAGCCTATAATAAATTATATGTAGTGGACACATGCAGATATGTACCTTTGAAGAGATTACACTCTGTGAGATCATTATACTCATCTCTCAAATGCATGTAGGTTTGATTTAATATAGTATAATAACACTATAACATGAAACATATGTCCCCAACTTACATGACATAAAATATTACTTGTAGAGAAATGACCAGGTGCCCTCATATTTGCACTGATACACATTTAGCTAATTTCCTCTAGGAAAGTTAGTATAAGCCTATCAAGACAACTCAACTGTGTTATTTATGACATATTTAAAGGCAGTGAAGTGTAAAGAATGAGAAGATAAAACAGGAATAAACAGCATCATCACTTAAGCCTGCTATGAAATCTAGGAAGGACTCCACACTTACCATTCTAATCCTGTACTTGACAGAAGCTTATTAAGTCTATAACTGTTACTTGAAATTAAAGACACTCTTAAAATCCTGGTATCCGGAAATGTATCAATCATTTAAAAAAACATATCAACATTATAATAAATGGCAAGCAGACACAGAAACATAATTATTAATTCTCTTTATATTTTATAAGTAATCCTAGGCTTTGAAGAAGACAGTTATGGATCATTGCCATAGAGGAAAGAATATTGAATTAAAAGGGTAAATGCCCCAGTGCTTATTTGTGATAAGCCTATTAATCTGTTTCACTTTATATTTAAAATTGATTTATTAACACATGTGCTGTTGATACACATAGTATTTTTAAGATTAAATGAACTTCTGCATATGAAAGCAATTTGGACATTTGAAGAATTGAAACAGATTTATCCCAGGATGGAGATGCCTTTATCACAGTCATAATGAAAATGTAGCAGTCTCCATGGAAGAATGTTTGATGAATTAATTTATAGGAATCAGAATAAATCTGATTTAAGAATAGTTAGCTCTTTGTCTTAAAATGGATTGCTAAGTAGATGACATAACTGAGGAAGCATAGAGCTGGCTTTTGCTATTATCATCAATTGATTTGTCTCTGCCATGTGACTGGTGGCTTTAACTAAGGGCAGGTAAGCCATGGTTACAGATTAAATAGACTTCATCACCAGTTTTGTATATAAAGATATGCCTAAATTTTAGTTTGGCAGTACATTTCTGTAGTAAATGGTATTCACATACCCAGTGGGAAGTTGTTACATGTACATTACACATTTTAATTCCTTTTTTATCCACTTTCCCTTCTCCCTACACCAATCTCCTGACCCTCTTCCTTATTGCTTTTGTACACTCTTGCAGTGTATGTTTGTACATATTGTTTACAATCCTTATGTGAAGGTGACTCATGTACATAACAAAACCCAATTCCCTCATCCCTACCTTCCCTCGCTGCCCTATCTCTTGATCCCCTTCCCCTGTTAAAGACAATCTTCTCCTTATGTCCTATTGCCTAGCTTCTATTTTGCCCTTTGTTTTTACCCTGGGTTTCTTATAGAAGAGAAAGTATGGGATATTTAAACTTTGTGTCTAATTTGTTTCACTTAAGATTATGCCTTCAAGGTCCATCCATTTTCCTATAAATGTCTCAAATTTATCTTCCTTTATAAAGTTATTTTCAGGTCTGGGGACGTAGCTCAGTGGTAGAATGCTTACCTAGCATGCACTAAGGCCCAGAGTTCAATCCCCAGCACAACACAAAAAGTTATTTTGAATGCAGCCACATGTACTTATTCATGCATTGCCGGTGATAGCTTTTATGTAGTTAAGTTGATGTCACATACTCTACAGTTCAAAAAGCCTAAAATATTCACTATATAGCTCTTTTCATAAAATAGCGTTAAGAAGTACAATTGGAAGGAAATTAGTAAGTAGAATATTCTTTGATATTTGCACAACATTTTATTAAAATTAAACTTACTAAACAAATTAACATATTCAAAGTGAATACTGTATTCTGAAACCCTGTGATGATCATGCTTCCTTAAACGGCAGACATCAGGCACAGACATGTTGCTTGCCGGACTCTTCAGAGAGTGGTCTTCCCCACAGAGTCTTCCTGAAGCATGGCTTTACTTGGGGTCCACTGCAAAGGAAAGCTTTCAGAGGACAGAGCAGGAGGAAGGAAGGAAAGTACGTATGGGAAAACTGTGGTGAAAGTCATAGAAGCTCACAGCTCCGCAATCATAGTCCAGAAACACCCCAACTCTACCCACAGGGTACTTTTTCTGGTTTTTGTCCGGTACCAGAAATCGAACTCACGACCTTGCGCTTGCCGGGCAGGTACTGTGCCTCCGAGCTAAATCCCGAGTCCCGCCCCTTGGTTTTGAACAGAATGAATTAGGAATGGGGAGACGGTGAATAGGATATATTGCTTGTTCTTTTTCAGTGAAAAGAGAAAAAATATTTTGTTGGCATCAAAAATGTTGTCAGTGTCACTCATACCTGCATCTTTACAGAGAATCCGTTTGGAGTGGGCTGGCCACGTCCATCTCTTAGTAATGCTGACCTAAGGCGAAGGCCGCAGTGCCCCACAAAAGAAAATTTTCTGTTCTGAATTGGTGCTCTGCAGGCACACTGTGTGACGGTCAGCTCCAAATATTCTCCCGTCGTCCTCAGGAAGGCTCACAGGGAGTGGGCCATCCCTGAATCACACCAATATTCACTCGGGAGGTGTTAAGCACGTCTTACAGTCAGTAATGTACCGTGAAATGAGGTCTGTTTTCACTGGCTGGGACTTTGGCATTAGTACCAATTCAGTCCTTTGAAACACATCTCCTAAGTCCTGGAGCAGCTCCACGTCAGGCTTACGACACATCTGAGCCAGCTTTCGGCACATTTCTTTCACCCCTTCTGTCTGCTGGGTTAGCGAGATTTCACTGGCATTTCATTGGTATAAAATATCCTCTGTTGTCTGTCTAGTGTCTGTCCAGTGTCTGTTCAGTGTCCTTTGTCTGTCTAGTGTGGTCAGGTGGCATTGCTCATCTTTATAAAGAAATAGATACATGTTCTCATATTGAGCTCTGACCCACATATTTCACAAAGGACTGAGTCTTGCTTGATTCCTCACTGATACTGTTTTTTATTCCCAGAGTCTGTTTCAGTAGAGAATGTATTTTCTTCAGAAGTTCCTCCTTTTATTCCTCAGCAACACTCTCCACCTGGCTGTGTTCCTGTGATTGCAAGCAGGCCCTTCTCAGCCGGTCCTGGTCCGCCTCGCAGATGAGCCTCTCTTCCTCGCTGTGTGCCACACAGATCCCTTCCCAAGCGCTGGGGGCAGGGTTGGGCCTGGTCTGTCTGAGGCATGAAGGCAGGTTGTTGAGGATGGCAGCTCTTACGAAGGCCCAAGTGTCTGATGCAGCTCTGCACAGAGGACAGCACTTTGGAGTATGGGTTTCCTCCCTGCAGAAGAAGAGGGAGGAATGGCAAAATCTGTGTTCACAGCCTACAGAGACAGGTTAGGTGAGTAGTTCATACAGGTGCGGCATGTGAAAACATTCTCTAAGGCCTGCAAGACAATTGATTGTTTCTGACACTGCAAGACCAATGTTACTGAAGATACACTGAGAAATGAGCTAAGCTTACTTCAAATTGACACTGAAGTAGTGCTCCTTTCAGCCAATATAAGTTTTCCTGGGCTAGGTGTGGTGGCATACACCTTTCTTTTTCTTTTACCAAACCATGAAATTGCACCCAGCATGTGTTAGCCATAAATGAGACTATGCAAGTCACCAAACCATAGCTATGCTTTGTAGCTCTCTGACTCACTCTCCTCTTTTTGACACTGAAACAGTCTCCCCTTTTTACCACTGAACAATAACACCATATATGTAATTCACCTCTTTTATGCCACTCTTTTGCCATTTTTTTGCCTTTCATCCTGTCTGGGTGGAAGTCCCTCATCCCTGACTTTGGAAGGCCTGCTGAAGCAAGGGACATCCTCTCCAAGGTTCTCTGTGTAGGCACTGCCCAGTAAAATTTACTGCACAACATTGAGATCTCATGGTCTTGTTTTTTCTTAATAAGCTCCCTAGTATTTGAATTTTACGTGTGCCTTGCTATAGAGCTCACAGCTGGAGCATAGGCAAGTAAGAGTGGGTGAGGGCACCCAAGAAAGAAACCATGTCTCCGTGAGCCTGTCTCTGGAGGGTCTGAACTTTATTTTCTGTGATCATGTACTGCTCTAGCGCTATCTAATATTTTCATTCCTCTTGCTAATGCATCCTACAATTTTATCTGTGTTGTGAGTTAGTGAAACTACAACACACTTCATGAATGGGGTGAATTGAGACCTCCATTTTCTCCTTGGGGGTGCTCCATGGAGCCCATTTGGTAAAAGAGGTAGTGAAAGAAATTGTTCATTTTAAGTACCTTATTTTCTCATAATCTTATAACTTCTACATTTCTGAAAGCTTGCATTGCCCTTCAAAGGAGAAAAATTGTGAAGAAAATCTTTTTTTATTACTATTAGTCATCATCATCACAAACTTTTTATAATACTTTATTCTTTTTTATTATTTTAAAGAGAATAAAAAGCACTAACAAAATAACAACAGAAACTCATCTGAGATTCATAATATCTAAAAAGTCACAATACTTTTCATTTTTCTCCACATAGAATTTTGATTTAGAATCCAAGTCAACCAAGAGTTAACTCACGAGTGAAAACTTTTTCACTTGAAAGGGCTAATTTTCTTCAACACATAAGATAACAAAATTGATTTCTGCAAAAATATCTTTGGACACTGTTCTTAGAGCAATATATGTGGCACCATGCTGTGAATAATGATCTCTTTATGCTACTGAAGAATTTCACAATGTTGTGTAAGGTCAAAACTATTTTCACATTAGAATGTGCTTAAGTTATTGTTATTTAGCTTTACTTGAATTTTTAAAGCATTGCAGAAAAATCTTTTCAGCAATATGTATAAGGCATACTAATCCCAAGGAGAATATTGCTTACACTTCAAAATTCAAAAATATATAGCTATTTATATTCTCCTTCTGATCAATAGAACATATATCCCAGAACAGTTATTAATCTTGGTATTATTATCTTTGTTTTTTTCAGGTATTGAGAAATATTCCAAATAAATACTCATAGTTTTGTATTTGAAGGTGATAGTTCTATAGAAATCCTGCTTTTTGTCCTTCAACTATGAATTATATGACTCAGGGGTTTTAGGGATTGCTGAAATCTTTACTCTCTCATACTTTCTACCAGCACATTTCTACAAGAAAAGAAGAAGCAAAAAAATCTTAGTTAATAACCAATTCCTTGTTTATATTTTGGTTAAATACAGTATGATTCCTTTCTTTCTGTTTTTTTTTTTCTTTTTTTTGGATGAGAGATACGGTATTTATTTCCTAAAGCAGAAATTTTTAAAAGCAAAATATATTTTTCATGGTAGAGCAAATAAAATAAAATGTTCACCCTCTGCTGCCTCTGCAGGAAGGTGCCTCGGACCCAGGAAGCCTGTAATTTCAGTTGACTTGTGAACAAATTACTTATCTAAGGAGAAAATCCACCTTAGTATCCTATTTGATATTGTCTTAGTTAATTTTCTCCTTGGTGAGATGGTGCTTGCCACACAGCTCTCAGTGTTCCCAGGGGAAACGATGGCAGGAGGATAAAGAAGTATAGATAAGAGAAGAAAGTTGAGGTCAGGTGGTTTCTCTCTCTCCAGATGAGAGGGAAGGAAAATTAATCAACTACAATAGGGGCATTTATTTACACATTTGATGAAGTTAGTATT